TTGTAAGCCATGAACCATGCTCACGGAGAATAAAATTCAGCTTTTAAATTTCAATAATGGAAAACTTGTCAAAAGTAGAATTTTACCATTTTTGATGCATTCTCCTTGCTTGTATGAGGTTGCTTAGTCATTTCAGACTAATATTCGATTCTTTAAAGTATATTGTCTACTGAAATGAGTGAAGGATTGTGTAAACTCTTTGATCAAAGTCTTAACCCTATCCTATGCGAAATGCCGAGCTAGGGTTAGGGTTAGGATTCCACAAAACGTAGACAGATTTTGATAGCATGGCTGTGTTTTTGGGCAGGATTGGAATTGTGGAAAAGTAATGTTTCTTTCTTATCTTCACTTTTTTCATGCATATATGGGTTTTTTTTTACCTTTGTTGATGCATTCTCCTTGCTTGTATGAGGTTTCTTAGTCATTTCAGACTAATATTTGATTCTTTAAAGTATGTTTTCTACTGAAATGAGTGAAGGATTGTGTAAACTCTTTGATCAAAGCCTCAACCCTAACCTATGTAAAATGCCAAGCTAGGGTTATGGTTAAGATTCCACATAACGCAGACACATTTTTATAGCATCACTGTTTTTTTGGGCAGGAATGAAATTGGGGAAAAGTAATGTTTTCCACTGAAGTGAGTGAAGGAGCACGGCTCTGTGTATGGACAGGATTGGTGTTTAGGATGAGTCATGTTTCAATGTTTTCTTCGTTTTTTTTCTTACATGTATGGCTACAGTGTATATTCTGTAGTTCGTGACATTTTAGGTTTCCGTAATAAGTATGTGCTGTATAATATACAGGCATTTTAATGAATGAAATTACACAAAACTGTATAGTGTGTCTTAATGTGTATTAAGGTAAGATGAATTTTGTGAAACTAACCTCTCCAGATGTATATATAAATAAAGCAAAGCTTGAATTTTTATATCCTATTTGCTCTTCTTGGATGATCCCTTTAAATAAAGATTGCTAGAAATGATGATGAAAGATCCGATAGCTTTTTGGCAGCCTCTTTGTGATGATAAAAGAGTCTATCTTCTTTTTCCTGTTGTGATAGGTTCTTGAAAATGGTCTTTAAAGATGGTTAAAGGTGTCTATTTTTAGGCACTTTGCTTCAGCACAAAAATATTCTCTGTATTTTCTAGATGTAAAAATGTAAACTGCTGAACCTTCCAAAAAAATCCTCCAGATGTAGGTTAGCTTGTGTGACAGAATGATCAAAATCCTGTTTTTACTTATATATGAAAAAACATTCACTATATCTAGGGAGGGTTTTTTACAAGTCGTTCCGTGTATTGCTGCATGTGACCTCATGAGATGTGTTCTAGCAGGCTGCATATTTAGTACTTTTCTGACACATGAAAGGGTTTCAGAACTCAAAACTGGTTTGACTTATCACTGAGGATGTCAATCTTATTTTGGAATTTAGCACAGAGCAGTGGAGGAATATATCTGTTAGGAAAAAAAAAAGTGTGAACTCCCTTAGTGTTGAGTCTGGCTCCTCTTTTAACAGTTGTTCTGTGTGTGTTGGAGGTAGTTTGCCTATGTTGCAGTTCCTATTCTGAATGCATTGCCGCTGTGTTAAACAAATATAAAAAACTATAATGATGAAAAACGTCATAGAGATCATGAAATATTTATGTTTTCTCTTGATATCAAAATTTGAACACTTCCTACTTACATAGAGATGCCTTTTTGGTAAGCTGATGATTGTAGCTGAAAAGCAGACCTTAATAGTTGGGGAAGTGTTTCGTTTCCTTTATGGAATGAAAAATGCTGTGAAAAATCTTTAATTACATCATGTGCCTGAGTGTTTTTGTTGAGAATTTTTATTCTCACTTTATTATTACTTGAAGCCAAAAAACATTTGTTAATGAGACATATTTGCCTTTTCAAGCTTACTGTTAGATGTGATTAAATGTCTTTAAAGTTATGGATAACCTGCTACTGCTTGAGAGAGTGTTAGTTTTGCTATTTATTGTTAAAACTAGACCATAAAAAGGGAAGGGAGCAGGCAGGCTTGAAGAGCAAACAGCATAATAATAAATTATGCCTCACCTCATGTTAGCAGTTTTCCAAGAATGAGAAATAGATTTGGCACATGGCTTGCTAATTATTCACATTCCACTGAGGGTTCTGGCTTGTATTCTATTGGCTGCAGGATAATGTATTATTATTACTGGAATTATACTGCAAAAAAAACTTGTCTGTCAGGATCTTCATCTATTTATATATCAGTTTTGCCCCCAACAAATCATGTCATATGTCCTGATTGAGAAGAAAGTGAAAGGTCTAACCTGTACAAGTCAGGCCCCTCTGATTCATCAGATCCTCACAATGAGTGTTAACAGCAGATGCATGTGAGCTACTGACCTCAGGGGAACTGGGCGGGTCAGTATTCAGGCACTTTCTCCATGACCTTCCATAAAATCTCTTCTCATTAGTGTTCACTTTGGCAGCCAGCATCTCATATCTAGCAATTAGAAATGCTAAAACCATTGGCTGTGCTCCTGTTGTGTTCCAAGCTGGGGAGCCTAATAATGGTATCTGTGTGTGTTGTAATATTGCACTCTTCATTGCGCTGCTGACACTATCAGATGAATCGATTGCAGCCATAAATACAAGATAATCTGGTTACACTTTTACAATGAACAGCGTTACGCCTTTATTTGAAACATTTCTGGTTTCTTATATAACCAAGAAACCACAAAGTGTTAGCTGTGTGCACTGTTAGTAACTTGCGTTTCTTGAGAATACTCTGGTTAGGCTTGGCACAGATTTCAACATTAGGCTTTCTAATTTGTGCATTAATAAAAGCATAGTAATTAAGACTACATGCAAAGGAATGCTAGTAAAGGGGGGAGTCTTATTCAGTGTTTTCACCATGGCTCCTGAAGAGATAGGAAAGTTTTGAACAGAAAATAAGCAGAAATTCAATAAGGGAGAAGCACTCCAGATTACGACTGATTTCTGCTGTGGTAGAAATAGTACAAAAATTGATACAAGAGAGCCCTTGCATTAAGTATAAATAGCAGGAGGTAAAGGCAATACCAAAGGTTCCACCCCCATCTTGGTCACTGCAAGATGGGACAATAACAACTGCC